ACGTTGTTGGTCAGTAAACACCAATTGAATGCAAGAAAATAGACATAAACTTTCTCTCGTTCTCTTTCTTTCTACAGGATGGATCTGCCATCTATGCAGGTACCAATGCTTCCCAAAACTAGCTAATTATACTGACTGTTCGATGAAAATACAAGCCCATCACTGATTGCATAAAATAGCATGAAATGGCTCATAAAAGTTATAATTCTCCAAGGCCTAATAGCTCACCTTTCAAAGTAAGCAAAATAACAAAAATATATAAGAATGTTGAAACGTCTTACCTCCCAAAATCAAAAAAGCCAGCGCTACTTAGCCTATAGGTTTTCAAGCATTCCTATAAATAGAAAATAAGTGCTTCCTTCCATTCTCATAAATTGCGTAAAGACAACAAACTGAAATCTGTTACTCATTTTGGTCGTTTGGTCGTGCTCCTGCGGTGTTTTGCAAATTAATCGTTCGTATCTCTCAGATCGTACCTAAGTGAACCACTCCTACGCATCCAAGTGTTCCAAATTGATATATGACAATATCTACTTTCGATCACGTGTTACGGGGCGACTTAGACGGATTGCGCGTCATCTCGCCTTCCCAAATTTTCTTCTTCTGCAGCTCGAATCCAAAACATCTATCTATAGCGCGGGGGACAGGGGAAAGATGTTTAACTCGGTGAATCTGAGCAACTTCTGCTCCCAGACGCGCAAAGACCGGACGTCCGAGTTTGGGGACAGGACGGGCTGTGCCTCTAACATCTACCTCCCCAGCTGCACTTACTACGTCCCCGAATTTTCCACAGTCTCGTCGTTCCTTCCGCAAGGGCCCTCGCGGCAAATCACCTACCCTTATTCCACAAACCTGTCTCAAGTGCAGCCGGTGAGAGACGTTTCCTACGGCCTGGACCCTTCCAGCAAATGGCACCATAGAAGCAACTATGCATCCTGCTACTCAGGAGAGGATCTGGTGCACAGGGACTGTCTTCCGCCATCCACCATGACAGAAATGCTCATGAAAAACGAGAGCGTGTACAGCCACCACCACCACCACCACCACCACCATCCCAGCTCAAACCACCCCTCCACCGGCTTCTACTCCGGCGTGGGCAAGAACAACGTGCTCCCCCAAGGTTTCGATCGCTTTTTCGAAACGGCGTACTGCGGCGCGGACAATCAGTCAGACCATTGTTTACAAAAGACCGAGGCGGCCAAGCTGGAGAGCGCGACCCAGCCGGCCAGCGCCGTTTCGGGGGTGGACGAGCCGGAAAAGGAGCCGGAGGATGAGGAGCAACACACAAATTCTGGCTCGTGTAGCTCGACAGCAACAAAGGACGGCAACGCGGGCAAGATCAGCCACTCGAGTAGGTACCGAAGCTGTAAATGGGGAAAGGTTAAGGGACTAGCCCGGTGTTTTGTCGGTCAGATTTTATGTGGAGTTTTATAAGCATTCAAAGGATTTTATTATAACCTACAAAGCTCTTTCCTCCAACGAAAAGAATTTTTACGATGGGAAAGCGCTTTGAAAAAAGGGGATGTTATACACAGACGCTGCTATCCTAGAGTCTGTGAAATTTTAAGAGCGCGCTATTGTGACAAATGCTAACTTTGATCATGAACTTGCGTTCGGCATTTTAGGGGCTTTTCTCGTTGGGCTGTCTGGAGTAAAAATCAATTGGGCAGAACACTGCTTTGGCGTCATGTGAATTTTCTTTGAGCAGCTTGCATGCAAACTAGGTAGATGCTTCTATTAGCCATACTGCAAGTCGTGTTGTGACTTGAGATGCCATGCATTTGACACGATAGTGTTGGATCAGTATATATGAAGAGTAAATATCTATCTATCTATCTATCTATCTATCTATCTATCTATCTATCTATTTGTCAAATCTTATTGTATGCCTTTCCAGCATATTTAAATTTTCAACAAAATATTAATAGTCTAGTTTAAAGTCTGTCATGCTTATGCTACTTTTGGTTTCTATTTGCTAAGTTTGTGATAAGTTTTAGCGAATACAAGACTGAAATAACTGACAAAACCTTTTTAATTTTGGTTCATAATGTTATTCACCATGGAGCCATTTGCTATGAAGGAATAGCCAACAGTTCACTGCAGATTAGCTCCAACATGTCCTTGAAATGAAATGGTAGGGCCCACTGCAGGGTATTTTCTATAGGAACAATGTATCTTTGTAAAACTAACACTATCTGGTGTTGGAATCAAACCAACAAAAGAAGGCCCATTAACGGAAATTTCTTTAGTATCTACAGCGTTGATCTCTTGTTTGATCGTGTGGTTTCATATCTACATTCTTCACTTTATTTATGTCTTATTCACACCCAAACAGAATATACTAATAATAATTTTCGAGCAGGGTTTAATGCTAAAGCAAAACTATCAAAACCACTTCCTCTAAACGTCAGATTTCAAGTTCACTTTGCGTTTAATGCCGTCTGTGCGCCTTTCCACAAGCCGCAGTGAAAAAAAATTAACTTTTGTAGCGTTCTACCAAATTTATTTTCGATCAGAAGATCACTGCACTGCCAACTAATGCTTTTAAACCGTTCTTTCAATATTTCCTAGGTGCCCCACGCCAGAGGAAGAAGAGATGTCCGTACTCCAAGTTTCAGATTCGAGAACTGGAACGAGAGTTTTTCTTTAACGTTTACATCAACAAGGAGAAGAGGCTGCAGCTCTCCAGAATGCTAAATCTTACCGATAGACAAGTGAAGATATGGTTCCAAAACAGGAGGATGAAAGAAAAGAAGCTGAGCAGAGACCGCTTGCAGTATTTTTCTGGGAACCCATTGCTATAAGCCTCGAACTGAACGAACCCTCAGCAGGCTAAATGTTGATTTTACTTGATTATTTCCGTAAACTGTAGCTGGTCATGTTCCAAACTGCTTCTATCAATTTGATACATCTGTAGTGATGAAGCCAGCGCTGACTAAGATGGGGTTTGAGGAAAAGGTGGATAAGGAGAGTGTGTAGACTTTAGGCCAATGAGGAAGGAAATTATTGAATTGGAATGCGTGGTTGTGAAATCCAAGTTCAAAATTATTTGATGTCGTTTGGAATAAACTCTTTCAATCTGTGCCACAGGTTATTGACATTCAAAGGTAGCTTAGTCACAACAATAATATTATATGTTGGACATCCGTTTAATTGTTGTAAATATGTAACATAAAACAAACAGTCAATTAGTATTTGGGGCTGGATTTTACATTTTCGTCTTCTTAAACTGTGACTTGTACAATCAGTAATAATGTATTCCTTGTACAGAGACTATGCAATGTGCATTCGTGACTGTAAATATAAATATTAAGTTCACTTTTTTCCATAACCTTGCTGCTATTTTCTTTATATTGCCCTCGCGCGCTTTAGCCTATTGTTTCTTTAAATTATTTGCTTTATGTAATGCCCAAAGTTCTCTTGTCTTGTAGAAAGAGATCGCGAAAAAAAAACAGATCTGTGTACGATATATGATACTTCACATAAGAAATAAATATAAATAATGTGAAAATATTTGCACGTGAATCTCTAATTCCACGACTATTAACAAAGGCGGGTGAGGGTGGGGGTAGGGGGAGATCAGTGTGTTGTATTTAATTTTTTCAGCGATTTGAGATGTGTGGAGGTGTGCTGTGGAAGCAGTGACATCACTTGAAAGAACAATTCACAGTCGGATAATAAAATAGCATTTCAGTGAACTTTGAAAATAGCGGTTATTTAGCAAAACATTGGCTTGCAATAAAAGGTGACTCATCGTGTTTGCATGATGCATTGTGTTCAGAACTGCGTTTTGCACTAGAAATGTACAGTTTCTTGGACAATGATGAATTTGCAACCACAACATTGAAATTGTATTTCACGGACACGAGGGGGGAAAAGACAGAAGGAAAAGATAACCTCCTTTAGTACCTTCTAAATGGAATCGCCACTCTCCAAGTCTAGACACTGCCATAAAGGCAGAGGCCCTAAATGGCTATTTTCTTCTCTTAATTGCACCGTCTGTTCGTGGGGAATGGCGTGCACTTCCGCAGTAAATAGTAAACAAGAAAGTCTGGCTCTTGGAACAAAGAAACTTGAAAGAAGTTAGAAAATGAACACTAGTAGCCTACATGTACAAGCAGCGTCGCTAGCCACATCTCACAGGCAAACTCTAAAGCGATCTGGAAGGAGGGAGAGTAGACATCTTGTGGTGAGTCTCCGCCTTCTTCTGCTGATTCAATCCTCTCTCTCCCCCCCTCTCTCTCTACTCTGCAAAAAGTGGCTTTGCATGTACATGATTTCAAATTTTCTCTTAGTTGATAATGGCAGCAATGCATTACATCAATGCAATTCTTCCAGTGAAAGTCAACAACGATTTTTTTCGTTGACACATTTGAATCATCAAACTGCCATTATTTCAGTTGCATGTGCTGCTGTACTGTGTGTCTATACGTATATGGGAGAGAGAGAGAGAGAGAGAGAGAGAGAGATGGAGAGAGTGAGACAATTCCCAAATTCGTGCCCATCTTTACGTGATCATTTTTGTGGTCCTCAACATATGGCCTTGTGGGGTCTGCATGTGTGTGCAGTTCGCACATGTGCATATTGAGAGGAAAAGAAATAATTAAAAGTTGTCTTTGAACTTCAATAATGTCACGGCCTTCACCTTTAACCCGTTGCAATAAAGAGGAATCAAGGACCCCCTTTAGCCAGGAAATGTGTGGAGCAGGACAGAGAGCAAATGAGAGCAACTGCGAAAGCGAGGAGGAATGCGTAAGTAGCCAAACTTTGACCCTTCACATTAAACTACACCAGGTACCTTGGCCAGCTTTAGCACGCCCAGTAAATACACTTTATTGTCCCTGTAAAATGTGCTATTATCATGCATGAAATGTGTTATAGCGTCTTGGCATGTACTTTGCTCGTTTACGTTTTGATGCTTCCCAATGAGCGGTGCTTGGAGCTTTTAAAAGTTGTTTTAGTGGCTTTTGAACACAGTTGTTTTCGGTAGATCTTGGTCTGCTGGAAGAGAGTGCGCCAGGCAACGCTTTTACGCAGAGAAACGCCGTCTGCAGGTATGTTGCGTTGTTTTAACGAGCTACAATGGTTTCAGCACATTTTTTTAAGGCAGAGAGAGAGAGAGAGAAGAGAGAGAGAGAGAGGTTTGTTAACTGAGAGCTTTCATTGCTAGTGAGCTTTGCCCACAGAATTGCGGGCGAGAGAGAAAGAGAAAGAAAGAGAGAGAGAGATATCAGAAGATAGCAGAAGAAAGGGGGTGGGCGGCCCATAGCCAAGGATCAAGGCTAAAAGCCTTCTCTTGTCACACCCACCAACCTTGGCCCTGGCTCGGTGACGTCGAGAAGTTGTCGACTTCCTTTTGCCTCGCGCCTTGGTCACGCTGAAGAAGAGGCCCTTGGCGTAACCGCCTATCAAACCAGGGATACGAGGGTCGTCCCTGCCTCTTATGTGTGTGTGTGTGTGTGCGATGCCATGAATAACGGTCACGAAGCCAAAATTTAGCCTGCAGCTTGCGTGATCGATAAATATGACCTTTTAAAACATCCCGTAGTTTGGATGAGCTGGCTTTTGGCCCGCGCGATTTGTTATCGCGCAGGGGGAAAATTGAATTTATTCGCCAAAGACCATCCAGGCTGGCTGCAAGACGGGAGTGGATCCCATCCGAATGAGCTGCTGGACAGCTCGAAGGAAATGGCGGAGACTTCAGAGAGCCACCAGACCCAGAGCCCTGGACCTGAGTCGCCATTAGATTAAAATACGAGCTGGATTTGAATTTGAAGTCGGACGCAGTGCATGGAAAAGAGAATCATCCCATAGAGAAATGTTCAGAAACTTTATTTATCCTTTCACAATACAGGATAAATTGATGCCGCTTTGCTTTCCAGAGGAAAGTGTTTTGAACTCAGTCTGAGGAAAAAGCTAGGCCTGTAATAAAAATGTAATGAAAATATTTTTCTATTTTTCCAAAATCGACAATTATTTCTTGTTAAGAAGGACGGTATATTTTAAAGTGTGGGTAAATAATAAAAATAAGTCACCAACAACAGAGGCACGCCCCGATGTATAAATACTATATATCTTCTTATACGACTATAGTATATGTCTTAGCACAGTGATATAAATTCACCCAAACTGCAATAGTCACTAATATCATTTATTACACATATATAACTTATTATTTTTGCTTTCTCTTCTGTGCGCACACACGAGGAATAAAGAATACTACACCATATGTAAAATGATTTCAGTTTGAGTGTATTTACGCAGCTAAGACATAGAGCACTATAGTGTGAGAGTATATCTAGTGCTCACCTCCGGCGCTGTTGCATTAAAAGCTTCATAGGTTTTGCAGACTTCTTATTACAGCAGTTCTTATTGTAGAGCTATACCTACTTCCACTCCTATGGATGTGATGAAAAGCTGTAAATATCCAGCGGTGCTCAGCAGCCATTTGTGTGGTCTTTAATGATATTAAAATTTAATAAAATGCTGATGTGCTTTCCGATTACCACTCTCTGATTTATAATTGTCTTTAAGACGTTACATGCGACAACCATAAATTTCCATTCAGCGCAGTGGGTGGACGCCAGTTTGGGTAAGGAAAAAAACTTTAAGCTCGTTACTTCAAATTGGAAATGTATTTCAAAGTACTTGCAGTGCATGAAAAGTACCGAATATGTACACACACACACACACACACACACACACACACACACACACACACACGTATATATATACATATATATATAAATATATATATACATATACGTGTGTGTGTGTGTGTGTATGTGTGCATTGAAAAAACAATAAAACAATGCTTGTTAAACTATGCTTTATTGTAATTAAGAAACATTTGACATTTGTATTTGGCAAAATGCTGCATTTTTCAAATATGATGTGGCAACAAAACGCAAATTTTCGGCTAACCAACTCCAGTTTAACAGGTTTTCTGAGATATCCGTAATTACCTTTGTGTCCTTTTTACAACTTCGAACAGAAATAACTACAGCGTATATAGACTGAGGAAAGAATGGGGCGTGGGCTTTAAAATTTAGACTAGTTTCGGTACGCGCAGGATATATGTACATGGGAAACTCCCCTGTGAGTAAATAAGGCAGAATAATCAATAGTGGACTTACTATTGTGAATTCGCCATTCTGTAATGCACCCGAAATTTTTCACTTGAATTAGTAAAAAAAAAAATTATGAAGTTGGTCTGAATTACATACCAAATGTTTCACATTAGCAGTGGCGCATTATCAAGGCGCATGACCTGCTCTTAAATGCGCATAACGGCCCTGGCGCTATGCAAGTATTTACAGGTGCTAGGCTTGGCACAGACATTGTGAAAAAAAAGAAGAAGAGGAGGAAAAAAATGGATCCGAACATGCTAATATCTAATCAATCTCGCCGCTGTTTTTATGATGCGGCTATTTAAAAGACCCCACAATCCCACAAGGCTGCTAAAAAGAATCAGCAGGGGAAACTGCTGGTCAGTCCGGATGACAGACAGGAGAGCGGACCAATGGAAGACGCCCACAGTCTGCTGAAGGGTCATTGCCAGTGACCTCTCTGTCGGCGCCCAAGAGAGCCGGAGTACCGTGAGGGGGACAGTGGCGAGCAAACAAGCGCTGCTCAGCCAGCAAACAAACCCCGGCTTCAAAAAGACTGTTTCTTTTTCAAATGTAGACGACGTTCCTCGAAGCAGTGTGGGAAAATACACGCGTGCTTGTTTACTGTTCCTTCTCTTTCTTTAAAGCTGCCGTATAAGAACATTAACATGAAGGATTGTATTAATTAGCTTAGTGATGTCCTCGACTCAAGTGCGATAATATTACTTTGTATTTATCTCAACGTCAGAGTTTAGCAGGCAGGCATTAAGGTTTAAAAATCGCATTAGTTAATGGATGAGACAAATTATTGCTAATAGGGACCACAGATTAACAATAACAATTAACAATAATTAACAATACAAAAAACATAAATTAACGAATACAATAAGTTATTTACAGGCCCTTAAAGAGCTCAACGGTCTCCAATGCGCCTTAAAAAAAAAAAAAGAAAAAAACAATAACCTGTTTTTAAAACTTGAAACAGGTTCTTCTTTGCATTTATACGTGCAGCAGAATTAAATCAATTCATAATGAGTATTTAAAATAAAAACGTTGGACGTATATACATTTATAAATGTGTGAAAGTGTTATTAATCATAATTGTTAATCATAATTCAAGAGTTTCATTCCAAACTGCTGTGGACCCATTGTAACACTTTTGGATATAGGGAGTTTGTAAAGTATAACAGCGGACGTATAATGTAAACATTTTTATTTTCCAATAACTATGGTATCAATTATAAATTATAATATAACATTGATATGCCTCGTATGTGTAAAGCCCACTCCAAAAACGTATATCATGTGAAAAAAAGAAAAAAAAAAATAAGAAAGGGGTCTACAGCGCTCTTTGGAACGAAACCCTTCAACTGAAAGATGAGTTTCTCCCCAAGTTATTTAAACGTCACCATAATGTAAATATCTATTTATGTCCCCCATGTAATTTCTGAATAGCATGACAGTTTCTTAAAATACAAAAACAGTAATTAGATGGAATGTGAACAAGTACAGCTTTGCGTATAATAGAACCCAATGTGCCCTTGGTTATAATACAGCTTAGAAATTTGGTTCAAAGCTATTATAGAAGGCAAAAAGAAAAAGAAGAAAAGAAAAAAAAAACATGAAATACAATTTTCTGTCATTACAAAATTGTAGCTGTTGGTATCAAATATTTGTCTTTAATTACATGCAAGACAATATACATTTTGCAACAGAAGAATGAGTAGAATTTAACCCCAAAACCACAAACACAGAATGTCTATAGGGCTAGTATATCTCTACAACACTCAGCCTTTAGCTTTAATACACTTTGGACAACTTGGCCGCTTATTTAGTTCAGTTGTAGTTCCAGGCTGTCAGACTGGCCTTTCCTCCATATGAGCAAAACATTGTATTTGCAGCACTTTCAAAAAAAAAGTATTATTCTATTTAAAAAAGCTGTAAAATAATTACATCTGTTTTAACATGTAGGCTAAGAGACAGTCGACATGACAGCTATCACAGAGTGTTATGAACAGACATACCTCCGTAATGCGCAATATGATAATGAGAGTCCTTTGTCCCAGATTCAACATACACTCATTTTGGTGAACCCCCTGCAGAGTCAAGCACAGTTGTAAATTTGTGTTTTGCTGACTTCCTTTTCCTGTCATTTACCCCGTTTATCAGGTTCACCACTTCATTTACCTGCCTTTCTCGCTCGGTCTTCCTGTGCTCGCCTTAGCCACGTAACTGGACGTCTCGCCCGCTCGACTGCTCTTTGTTCTCTGTGACGGACGTGTCTTTGCACGAACGCGTCGACTAGATGGCGCCATTGCTCCACGCCGCGCCGACAGCGCTCACTAACTTGACCCTGTTGACGTCAGCACCGTCTAGAGCATCAAGGCCACTTCCAAAACCCTATTGGTCTGAAAATCACATGACAAGGGCGCCTTGAATCCATAATTATGTTGCTGATATTTTTTCGGCCCCCCCCCTACCCCAAAAGATGTCAGCGTCCTACTGTCCTTACCCTCTTCGACGTAAGCGGGATTGCTTTAAAACATAAAGATCGTCTCGCCCTCCGGCAAAAATGTCATGTCCGAACAACGTGGCGGCCGGCTCGTTTCTGATGGACTCGCTGGTTGGAGGGACGTCTCCGTACAGAGGTGAGGGCTATTCCGCCAACTCCGGGATGTATATGCAAACGCCCGCAGAATATGGCTGTCCGATGATGAGGAGCGTGGGCATCGTCGGCGCATCACACTCCAAGCGGGACGAGCTGCCGGTGAGCGGCTACCAACACCAGCAGCAGCAGCACGCGCATTACCTGTCGCAGCGGGACGCCTGGACAGCGGGCTCTAAAACTTACAGGAGCGCGCAACCTGTTGCCCAGCCTTTGCACCCGTGCTCTTTTCCGGCCAGTCACGTCAAAGAAGAGGCTCTGCCCTGCCTGTACCAGGCTGACCTGGACAGCCCCAAGGAATCTGCACAGGAACCGTCCGCTGCTACCTACATCCGCCTGGGGGATAATGGCAGCCACACGGATCAGAGTGGCGTCTCCGCCTCCGATTATTTCCGAGGAAGCCAGGTGTACGCGAGCGAGCGGGGGCAGCAGCGTGACGGCTTCGGCTCGGACTTTAACCCTGTACCCAGAATAACGACGCCCATCGAGGCGCAGGCTGCTGATGGCTACGGCAAAGGCAGCAAGTCAAAGCAGGACGCGGCGGGCGAGGAAGCCCACACAGAGGAGCAGGGCACGGATAAGAGGCAGCTCAGGAAGGAAGAGAGTGGGCCAAAGACAGACAGCTGCACAGATGATTCTGAGAGCGAATTGAAAGGTGATCCAAACTAACGAGGTCTCGCTTCGTGTGTGTGTAAGTGTGTGTGTGTGTGTGTGTGTGTGTTTGTGTGTGCGTGTTGGCGTATCTGTATACTCTTTCACGCGCATATACACGCACACTTAACGTAAGTAAATACACACACACACACACACACACACACACACACACAGGTTTATTGTTATACCTTCACAGGACGTGAGGTGTGTCATATATGTACCTAAAAACAATGATAATGATATGACCATTACGTATTATGTAAATATAAGAGTATATATATACACACACATATATATATATATATATATATATATATATATATATATATATATATATATATGATATATATATATGTGTGTGTGTGTGTGTGTGTGTGTATGTTACTAGCTGTATGCAATAAATGTAACCTATATGTAACCTAAATATCCCTTACAATATGGGTACATATAAGGGACATACAAGGGACATTTAGTTACTTACATATATAGAATAATTCGTCCCTCGTATGTATTAACACATAGTTAACTAATGAACCACTAACTACAAGTAATAACAATGTCATATTTGTAATATATATATATGTTATTACACTAGTTAAATATGATAAGACTAAAATAAATAATAATAAATGTGATAAGGCTAAATATAGTTCTAAACTTAACCCTAACCTCAGTAAAAAAAAGACCCCCAAAAACTTTTTTTTGCCACTTCAGTTTGAAAAACTTAAACGTGTACCTTTTGTCAAAGGCACTTTACAATTTTTCTCGTCTTTTTTTCCTACCCAGTCTATCCTTAAATTTTACAAAGACAAACAAACAACTCCCCCACACACGCACACACACACTCATGCATACACAGAGGAATGCAGATGGTCTGCAAACCTAGTATTTGAAAGTGGAACCACTAACAGCAGGTTCAAGGTTCCAGACTAGAACGTAGCAACGGTACCAATTTACGCTGCTCAAGTCAAACACTGCTTCAGCTGGTCAGTTCCGTGTGTGCATTCGTCTAAACAGACGTAAAGCAGACCTCTAAAAGCCCTCTCTGAATCCGTGTTTACGATGGCGACTGTGTTCAACATGGCCACATAAAGACGCAAAATGCGCGAGGGCCACTTAGCATCGAAATAAACAGGATCACACAAGCGCGGGCACGCACGCACGCACACACGCACACGCACAGACACACACACCAAAAAAAAAAAAGAACAAAATCCTTCCTCTAATGTAAATTAAGTGATTGCGTAATTTCATGCGCCGCAGTGGGTAGCTGTGCAGATACAATTTTACGCACAATCGTTTTATGTTTAAGGAAGTAAAGTGTAATAGAGCCCGGGGCGAAATGGGCTTCCCGTCGTATTGCAATAATAAAGAGGTGTTCCCTGCAGCGATACGGCTGTCTATAGCGACTAAATATAGCATAACAGGCTCTGCTCTATTTGTTATTTAAGAGTATTTAATCTGGTGTGTTTATTTATGGGTAAAGTCTGAGTCCAAATATAACCCCTGAAACGAAACCAACTGTAGCGTTTTGCAGAATCACATTTAGAGCCAATTATAAATATTAGCAGACTTTAGCTTCGTCTTTAGACCTAATTATAAATATTAGCAGACTTTAGCTTCTTCTTCTTCTTTTAAATTTCATGAATACACAGTTAACTGGCTGTAAAATAGGTTGCTCAGTGTTCATTTGTAAGCCTCCCATTTCACTGGCAAAAAGTAAAAAAAAAAAAGTTGCCAATGCATCACAAATGAGTGCTCTGAATTAAATGCAAATCATTTCTGTGCATTTCAGTAACTTTTTTAAATTTTTAACTTTTTTATGTATATATTTTTTACTTTATTCACTTTCTGTTCCATTCCTTGCGCGATAACGTGTACAAATTTAAGCGCATTTTCAGCCGCAGAGTACACATGCCTTTAATACTCCAAAAATAAGCACTTATTAAATTCACCATGTCTCGCTTTCTTTACACGTAAAAATGAGGTTTATTGTTCGACTGGAAACTCAAATTCGCATTATTAAGAATATTTGGCTATAAAAGAGCTTTAACACCACTGATACCAAAGTATGCTATGAAAAATGTCAACAAATAAGTGGATTTGTTGACACTCTTTAAAAAGCAAAAAAGGATGTTTTTGTACAGATAACAAGAAAAGATATGAAATCTATCAAAAAGTGGAGACGGATTTACCAAATAATCGCTTGTACTTTCTTTTTAAAACATCTCATATATTCTATTACCTATTCAGGCATATATTATCTAGCACACACATGCTAGAATAGACATTCTGAATAAGAATAGGAAAAATGCAAAGGGAGGGTGTAATTGCAGCTCCAAGTACAGTGTCTTCTTAAATTATGCGCGTGTCTGAACCTGTATATTATACTTTATTGCCGCAGATGAAGTAAAGTTGGAAAACGCGACGGGGAACTGGCTAAAGGCTAAAAGTGGACGCAAGAAGAGATGTCCTTACACAAAGCATCAGACACTTGAGCTGGAGAAGGAGTTCTTGTTCAACATGTACTTGACTCGAGAGCGCCGTCTGGAGATCAGCAAGAGTATCAACCTCACAGACAGACAGGTCAAGATCTGGTTTCAGAACAGAAGGATGAAGCTGAAGAAGCTCACCAGGGAAAGTCGAGTCCGGGACCTAACAGGCTACAGCTACAACTGAAGGCAGAACAAACAAACAAGCAAACAAACAAACAAACAAACAAACAAACAAACAGCACACTCACACAAGTACATTAAAACAAAGACTGACAAAAAAGACTGTGCTTTTGTATTTACGTGATTCAAATTTGCCAGTGTGTTGCACGTGAATAAAATATTTTGCAGCTTCTGTCTGTCGGTTGATTTAGCGAGCATTGTGTTTTGATTCGACGCATTTTATTCACGCGCAGATTTGAATCGTGTAAATTCAAGGCGCAGTTGGATAGGTGCATTATCCATACATCTGCCTCTCTCTCACTCACGTGCTCACACATACTCAGCACAACACGGAGACCTTTGAGCAGCCCTGGTATGTGACACTGGTTGGGAAGAGGTTGTTTCAAAACAGTATTAAGTTTGGTTCTCAGTGCCCCAGCAGATAGGTCAAGCTGAACAACGCCGCAGATTGAAGCACTGTAAATATGCCATTGGCGCAAATATTGGCGCAAATGTTGGTGGACGGGTGTGTCTTGCTAAAAGCAGAAGTTTGTTTTACTCTTAGCCTGCCAAACATGAGTTGTCTATCTGATGTCTTAGATTAGCGTGTTTGTCAATTAAAGTGCGCGTGTGTCCTCAACATGGCGTAACCCTGTATTCTGCATGCCAATTGCTGTTTTTTGTCCATTTGATTTCTAATCCAAGAGATAAATAAAAAAGAGGGGTTGGGAACTCGAATGTCCTGGTATCTCCTTCCCCTTGGACATCCTCTTTGGCATTCTATTGAGAAAGAGAAATAATAGTAAGGGCAAAAAGAAGAGAGAGACTGAGTGAGAGAGTGAGAGAGAGAGAAAGAGAGTGAGTATGAGTGCGTGTGCGGGAGAGAGAGAGAGAAAGATTGTAGCACTTCCAATAAGAGTGGGAGACCCATAACGTTGATTTAAATATTATCCAGGTGACCACAGTAAGTCAAGGTCATAAAATTGTAATGTCATGACGGTCCTGGAAAAGCGCTGGGGGTGGATTTTATGATCTGCAAATATAATGTGCTGGTGCAGTAAAGATGCATTAAAAGCCGAGTGGAGGAGGGCTAATCCACAGACCCGGGACTGCAACGCGCTGGCCTCACTGGCGCGCTCTGCGGGCTGACCGGCTGCTACTGGAGGCAGGAAGCTCGTACGATGGCTATGGAGAAGCACACGAAGCAATGAGCGTGGATGTACGATATGACAACAACACCAGCATTAACAACAACAATAACAACAACGACGACCATGACCAACGTGGGGATCCTACTACAGATAAGGAAGAAGGCTAAAAAGGTAGGACAGCCATTTTTATTACTTTCTCTGCTGCTTTGAGGATGTGTTCACACGCATTGATTTGAGGAACCATCTGCTTTTGTCTAAGCCCTTCTTGAATGCTAGACGGTGACATCTTAAAGGCATGTTGTGATGGTCCTCTATTATCTGATTACCTATATAGCCATGGTTGTGTTGGTGTTCCTGTGGTTATATTATTTAATTGCTGAAAAACGTGGCTGAGTTGGTCTTTTTATCTGATTGCTGATCTAGTTATTTATGATTGTGGTGATCCTCTTTTAACTGTATTGTCTGATTAGTGATTCATTTATAGCCGTGGTGGTCTCCTTGTACTTATATTATCTGGTCACTAATCTAGTCTCGGTGGTGAATATAGTTTTAATATTGTCTGTGTGCGATATATTTCAACAGCTTTTAATATATTTGCTGTAATTATTGGGATAAACTTTGCTGTTTATTTTCATTTTGTTCTGCTCTATCAGAAGACACTGATTTAATGCTCTGCCTGGCAAATCGTTGCACTTTCACTCTCATGCTAAACACGTAGACATCTTGATGCTGGCTAGCGTGAAAGTTAATTTAAGTGCTGGCCTATTAGAAGTTCAGTAGATTGATTGGAGCTGGGCTGCGAGGAGGTGCAAAGGAGAAGAAACTTTGGGATCGAGCTCTGGTTCTATGGTATCTGCAGGAGTGTGAAGAAGAATAAAAATCTTACTTGCATTTAGAACATGTCTTGTTTGTCTTCTCCGGTGGATAACGTCGTTACGCGCAGCTGGTGCGTGGTTTAGGTAGTTTCATGTTGTTGGGATTGGCATCCTGGCTCGACAACAAGAAACTGCCTTGATTACGTCAGTTCGTCTTCATCAAGGGCGACAATTGCCGTTAAATTACACCCTGTGCAGTGAAGTCTTCGCAAATGGCATTGTAAATGAACTGAACGGTTATAGCCACGGCGGGCTCTTTTTCTTCTGTGCTAGCCTTTTAAGTGCCCGGCTGTAAAACGAATTTAGGCTCTCAGAGGGAGAAAAGGTTGTAAACATCATGGGGTAAACTTCGACCGGGCCATCACACGGGTCATTCTTTGATTTCAAGTTTTGGTTTAGGTCTGGACTCGGACTCCTTTCACTGCGTTGTATTCATAGTGGCACTCACATTGGAGTCGAGATAAAATAATTAGACAGGAAAGGTGGGGGCGGACATCCGGGATAAATACATGGAGGTACATGGATGGATGGATGGATGGATGAATGGATGGATCAATGGACAGACTAATATGAGACGAATATAATGTAAATGTAATTATTTTTCTTAACTTTATAGGCCAAAACTTTTTCATCCCAGCAATGTGCATTTATCATAGTGGCGTAATAAACAAAACACTAAATAAGCAAAACAAAATAACATAAATTAAAATAACCTTTTTGCTAAGTTTAAATGACAATTAATAAAATCTCAGGATGTAACAAGATGTAAAGAAATTCGTGCATGGTGTGTGTGTGTCTGTGTGTGTGTGTGTGTCTGTGTGTGTGTGTGTGCGCGCGTGCGTGCACACGTGTTTATCAATTTTGAGATACAATAAAAGTAGCTACTAAAACAAAGATTACAACACAATTTTGAAATTTAAATTCCTATATATTGAAATTTTGTGGGAAAAATGGATCGAGTCCTAAACCTAGATTATTTTTAAAGTTTAGGCTACATGTTGCTATTAATTATTGACACGCTATAATGGACACAAAGGAGCGATAGGAGCGATCAATTGCAGCTCTGCAAAAGTTACTTGTATTCTTCCTAAATATAAGTAACAGCGTATATACTACTATTATTCGACATATACAGCCGTAGGTTTTGCATGCACTGCGTCAATAACACGTTACTATAGCTACATTTTATACATTATTTCAGATTGCAGGCCACTTACAAAGGCAACAGAATAAAAACATTTTGTAACATTACAGATTAAGACTTGGACGAGCCATGATTTTAGTAGTGAAGATGATGTACACGATTGTTATGGACTAGTAGCTCGCTTTCATTTCTTCTTTGGGTTTATACAGTTATTTGACCTAAATAATGTTTCGAGATGTTATTTCCTGCGTATTATTTTGTTGTTCGCCAACCTTAAAAAAATAATACAGATGCAATTATTTTCATTTAGTAGAGTCAATATGGACCTAATCTTGAATTAGAGGCAAAACTTCGCAAATGAATCATACTCTTTTCATATTAAACTCTCTAAATTGGTGAAAGTACGTACTGCAATGCCCTTCAGCGTTCAGAGAACAAAGGTAAGGTGTCTTTTACGAGCATTGCCACTCCCAAACTCTGCATTTCTCCTAAAATTATCATGCTGTCCGAGTTTTTCGCATAGGCTTTGCAAACCCATGCCTTAAAAACCCAAGAGCGCAAGCGACAAATTGCATGTCTATTTAAAAGCTGATTGTTGATTATTTTACACTGTGGGTTTCATATAATATAGTCTTAAAACGTTCGTGTAGACATGCATAACAGAACATCATATGCAATAGCAAATAAAAATACAGCATAACACTTCATAAACACACGTTTAGTGCAGTACACATTCATATTTACGTTACGTATTTCGCGAATTTCAAACCAAGAGACGTACAGTGCACTAGAGTACACCTTAATACCTGCACCTATTTTTTTTACAAATAATAACAACATTGGAGGGATAGTTGGATGCCAAAATTTTATGCACATACCATATTAGTCTATACCATAATAATACAACAGTTCTACAGTTTAGACGTATGTTAGACTGTGGTACTACCTATTTTTTTCTTATGAGAGTGTATGAATTTCGCCCTTTTTTGCTTGTTTTCTTAACCCCCTCCCATCCCCTCAGCTGTTTTGCGACGGGAGGAGACAGTCTGGAATCCAAAGTCATTTTCATTCAGCTGAGTGAATGGGGATCTCCTCTGGAATGCGTCACCAACAAAGAGTTTACAGCACACGAAATGACCCCCACAGGACGCTGCCGCCTGGCTCACGGATATAGAGGCAATTTCCTTCCAATGGCCTGAGGTTTTGTAGCTCCCAGAATACTCTGAATACTGTATGTCACTTTTTTTCGGTACGTAGTATCATATTGCGTGGCGAAACCAAAGGACATTAGCCTACTGGTCGTGACATGGCAAAACATTAACATTAGCTGTGACCTAGGCCCAGTCAAGGAAGACCTTAACGCATGAGAATACAGAGAGAAGGGTAAGGTGAACACGAACGACATGTCCGACTTCTGGACTTCAACACAGCAGAGCATAGTTTGATTAGTGAGCTAATCTAATTGGAGCTGGTCAGGTAAAGAGAAATTTTGCGATTTCTTGTTTTATCCCAAAGTAGTTCATACTGTAAACTGCGAACGAAAACGCAGCGACGTAATTACAGACTAATCCCAAATAAAGTTCTTTGTAAGGTTGCTCTTTGTAATGTTGCTCTGTGTTAATTGAAGGCTCACTGTTAAAAACAAAAGCATAAAGCTAAACGTGCTTAAAGGCTCCTCTTTTTAATGGTGTTTTACCTCCGCATATGGCCGTGTGCGAAAGTTTGAAAATCTCCACTAAAATTACGTTTTGTTAGCTTTCTGATTGTCTGATTGTGTGTGTGTGTGTGTGTGTGTGTGTATATATATATATATATATATATATATATATATATATGCAGTCATATGCAGAAATCCAACTACATGTTTTGTTGTTGAAAATAAGTGTGAAAACATCTACACACATGCGCACCTTTTATTATACATACATATATATATATATATATATATATATATATATATATATATATAATATATATATGATA